CTAAGGCGCCCATGGCCTGCTGGCCTACTGGCTCGGCCACATTGGCCTGACCAACACCCTCCTGCTGCGCCGGAACCCCATCTGGTATAGGCATCTCCTGCCTACCATGCCTATCACGTCTACCACCTCGTCGTCATCCTCGTCCTGACATCCTAATAAAGATAACGAAGACATTAGCACATTCAAAAATGTGTCGAAGTTATAACACTCGAGTCCTAAAACATTGGACAACTGTAATTCATTTCACGTAAGCACATAATCACATAAGCACCTACGAATTTCATTTCTGGATAATGATAGTCCCGAGGCGTTATTAGAGTTCCGGTTAGAAACAGCATTGATCAAGTGCTTTTCCAACAAGACTACAGAAACCCAAGGAATCCAACAACATCCTAGAAACAAATCCCATACCCAAATAGTCACATAAACATGTTATCACATAAGCATAATAACACGTGACATCTACTCTCTATCAAGCGAGACAACCCATTGTGGTACTAACCACTTCCCGCGTACCCAAAAAAGTATTCGAACCCAATACGCTCTGATATCAAGTTGTAACGTCCTCCAAAATAAAACCATAAATCATACAATCTTGACAAGCTTAGACCATAAGAGAGTACAAGATAATTTTCATCATCAAGAGTATCATTACAAATATTTAACGTTGATATCAAAAAGTAAATGCCCCACGGGCTTACAACTTTCCAAGTCACACTTGGTTACAAAAAGGAGAGTACTAAACTCTAGCACAAATAAGCCTTGGCTTGATAATACATGTAATACAACAAAAACAACAAAAAGAGTCTAACCAGGCCTCAGCCTCCCAAGCTACGTCCTTGGAGGTGGCATGCTACCTGTACCTGAAAATGATGTCCCATATAGGGTGAGCCAACGCCCAGTAGAGATATGCTAAACACAATATAAGGAATAACTAAGATGCTAGCATTTGATAAATGTTTAACTCACATAAATCAATTCATAATTCGTTTCAATTACATGACAAATATGTCCATGTTCCATTTCTCTTTCCTTTACTTAACTGATTCTCAATTCATAACCGTGGCTTAGAACCTGGCCAAACTATTTAAGTGAGATTACATCTCATATCAATAATACTTCCATACATCACAATAGATACACATATTCGTTGTATCAATATTACACAAAACACTTCCATACTTCACAATAGATACACATATTCGCTGTATCAATAGTTCAATAGATACACATATTTGCTGTATCAATGGAGTACATCCTCTATCTCCTCCCAAACAATATCCAGTTTAAGAGTCCATCCCCTAAAGATCAGCCACTACTAAACATGATATCTTGTTTTTGAAAACACATGCGCTCTTATTCCGATTTATTAGCCTAGAATTACTATGTGATGCGCATAGCATACAAGTATAGATTGGATCGCCTAATTTGGAACAAAATAGCTCATGTTTGCTTTTGAAAGCAATTTGCTACTCGCAAGTAGACTAAAATGCGGATTTTTCCACCCTCAGGCGGGCTTAGAAAAACATGGTGATTTGCCACTCTCAAGTGAGCTTTAAAACTCGTAATCAATGAATTATTCCAATTCAAGTAATCCAACCTTCACCCACAGACATTCAGGCAGTTATATCACATAAGTAGTTAGCCTCATGGCTAGCATGCTATCATGGCAGTCACTCACACACATGCAAGGATGCTAAAGCACAAACACTTACCGAGTACTCCAAGCCAAAACAAAAGCTATGTTAGAAATCAATGCATGATCCTAGCTATGTCAAGAATGCCTAATGCAACACATACAAAATGCAACTAAGATAGGCTCGGCTATTCTAAAATGTCATGTGAAATGCAATTTGATACATGTATTCAAACATGAATTGAAATACAATACAGTTAGTATGATGCGCCGAGCCCGATGCATGCAAGACAGATGAATGGATACAAACATGTGAGCATAAGGATGCTAATTGAAACATGCCCTAAAACAAACCATCGTAAGCTAGTAAATAAAAGGGAGAAAGAAATGGGGGTTGGATGACATGCATCACACACACACACATTTATTACAAAATTCGCCCTCTCGACGGAGGGTCCGAATAAATAATACAGAACCAATTAATTAACTAACTACTCTAGCTGACTAATTATTACACAACCCAAATTGAAATAAATATACATTTTAAACTAACAAAAGTATTGAAATGGCCTCACGACGAGGGATGCATGCATGCTCAAACCGCTTTGCTCGGAAATCCATCGCGATGCCCCAACTTGCCTCTGTTTGCAATTGTTCTCAGAAGCTTGCACCAAGCTCCAGAAGGAAGAAACTCCACCTTGGGAATCTGTGGGGATGCTGCCGACCAGATATTGGCCTTGGAGACCACCAGCCAACCACTTTTTGTGTTGAAAACCCGAAAAAGTGGTCGGCCTGCCACTTTATCTGGTCGGCCAACCAGTTTTTGCTACTATTTTCTAGTTTTCTGCAACAGAGGGCAAGAAAGGGGCATGGAAAAGTATTTGCAACACATGTATGCGCGACCACCCTCCCTATCATTACATAAGCTTAGGGGAGTGTAGGTCTCGATCCTCGGACCTCCAATCACACATCTCGATGCATGATGGCCGAGGGGCCGAATTGCGCAACTCAATATGGAATGAATGCACATACAAACACGTAAAGCCTAAAACTCCATCATGTATAGTCAAGAGTGTCGGCGACCGAGAATTGAGGCACGTTTCATCGCTTCAAATATGAAACGTCCCTCGTTTCCCGTGTTCGAACTAACTCCTATTCCAAACACAATGCAACACATAACATGGCATGCACAATGCTACGTAACATGGGATATGCAAAAATGCAATGCAACACAAGCATGCAAATATGTAATGCAACATGAACAGCCTAACAAGGCTAATGGCATGCACAATGCTAATGCATTCATACACAATGCAAGGCAACACAAGCATGCAACAATATGAACAACAACTAGCATACACAATGCAAATGGACATGGCATACACAACGCAATGAACCATATGGAATACACAATGCTCGATGGACTTAAACCAAAATGGACCGACCTCAGTCATGCCCAAATCAGTGGCCATAACACCAAGACTAAGGCACCAAAAGGCAAGATACACATACACACATATTGGTCCACAAGCTAGGCAACAAGAACACAACCCTTAGGGGCACTCAAGGGGTGACAAAAGTGGGAGCATGGCAAGTCTATATACTCTAAAATTACATGCAAAGTGAAGCCATATCATGCAAATAGCTCAAATAAAGCATGCCAAGAGACTTGAAACACAAAGCTAGTCAAGGGTTTTACACTACAACCATACCAAGCAATGCTCAAATGACCTAAACCACTCAAAACAAACCTAATGCAGGTCAAAACAGTGGCTGAAATGAATTGAAATGATAGCAGGCTAAGCAAGAAAAACCATGCCCAAATAATGGCTCGCAAGCAAGGCACAAAGCTCAACTCTCAAATACAATTAAAGAGTGATAAACATGAGAGTATGGCAAAGATATAAGCTCTGAAATTCCATGCCAAATGATGCCAAGGTATGCAAACATCACAAATATAGCATGCTAGAGACCTCAAAACTCAAGACTAGCCAAAGCATTTGCACTATAACTATACAAAACATGAGCGATATGACCATGGCAGCCGAAAACAGTCATAGAACAGCCCAAAATATGAATAAAATCATGTTGGAGCATAGCCAAAATATGCTAGAATGATGAGCCAAAACAACATGCATATAAAGCTAGTAAGCAAGATTTATACTACAAGTACATGAAGCATGCAAGAGGCTATCAAACCAACTTTAGACAGAGTTATGACATGCTAAATAATGACCAAAAACCTACAGTTTCACATGTGTTGTTTTTCCATTCAAAATGTTCGTTGCAACTGACGGAGGGATCACATTAAAACAACATTCATAGTGTAAGGTTTAAATTGATGAAATTGGGACAACTAGGACCAAGGTGAAATTCACTGAAATTAGAGGGATCAATGGTACAATTTATGCTAATAACTAAACTCTGAATTTTGCTTTAGTTTCTCTAGTTTCACATGTGTTGTTTTTCCATTCAAAATGTTCGTTGCAACTGACGGAGGGATCACATTAAAACAACATTCATAGTGTAAGGTTTAAATTGATGAAATTGGGACAACTAGGACCAAGGTGAAATTCACTGAAATTAGAGGGATCAATGGTACAATTTATGCTAATAACTAAACTCTGAATTTTGCTTTAGTTTCTCTAGTTTCACATGTGTTGTTTTTCCATTCAAAATGTTCGTTGCAACTGACGGAGGGATCACATTAAAACAACATTCATAGTGTAAGGTTTAAATTGATGAAATTGGGACAACTAGGACCAAGGTGAAATTCACTGAAATTAGAGGGATCAATGGTACAATTTATGCTAATAACTAAACTCTGAATTTTGCTTTAGTTTCTCTAGTTTCACATGTGTTGTCTTTCCATCCAAAATGATTACGGCAACTAATGGAGGGATGACTTTGAAATGAAATTGAAAGTGTGAAGTTTAAATTAATAAAATTGAAACACCAGGAACTAAAGTGAAATTTCACTCAAATTAGAAGAACCAGTGGTGCAATTTACCCTAATAATGAAAAACAATAAACTCTTTCTCTAATTAGTAATCAAGTCAAGCAGAATTACTAGAGGCGTGAAATTTCACAATATATCAAAAAACCGATTGTGTGGAAGGCTTAAATTCAGAATTTACTCCAGCATTTCGTAATAATATTTGCAATAACAGGATCCATATCATCAGGAATGTCAAGACGATGATGCTGAAAACCCACCGCACTGACAACTTGCATTGGGTTCATTCCCCCCCACGGCTACTGCAATGTACAGAGCTCCCATAAAATAACACCAAGGCTATAAACATCACACCTGAATCGCATCCAGTAATAATTCAGCACTGGTGAACAATTCACAAAGATAAATATACAAATAAATAAAAATTTAAAAACATAAATGATTTACGTAGGGAAAAAAATGAAAAAGAACAACCTACTTTTCATCTGAAGGTTCATTTCTGAGCACTTCTAGGGCCATCCACTCAGCCTGAAGAAGAGTATAGTGCAGAGCAGCATTATTAAAGCACCCTTGATTGTATTAACATAAGTACAGATAGATAATAATAGATGATGCCTTATCTTTTTAAATACGTGAAGATAGTAAATCACGTGTTTGAGATCAGATCTGAGAGAGAGAGAAAGGACAAGACCAGAGGGGCAGTAGCGACGAGAGGACAAACCTTAGGAGGAGCTTTGCCCTTTGATCCATAAATTAGAATCCCTTCGCTACCATAACAACTCGATTACCAGAAACCTAGTATTCATGATCTCGTCTTCTCCTCTTGCTTCGATTCGACCAGTCTCAGTCTCGATCCCTGTCTCGATCCCGATCCATGATCTCGATCCTTTTTCACTCCTCGGTCTCGTAACCTCGCGTTCGTGCAACTCAATCTGTCCATCTTCCTCTGTAAAATTATCAGAATCAGAATCAAGAAAAACAAAAAATAGTCAAGAAATTTTAACCAAATCGATTCAAGAATCGATGGATTTAGAATTAGCACTGAACCAGTAATCGAAATCGAACCTGATGAATCTCTCAAGGAGCACAAGGAGAGAGAGAGAGAGAGAGAGAGAGAGAGAGAGAAAACCCTAGATCTAGGACGGACGGAGAAAACGATAGAGAGAGAATGATAGAGACGGAAAGAGAAATGAAGACGGAGCACAGTGTAACGCGTGCTTATAAGAGGATAACGCGTGTTTTTAATTTAACTTTAGGCCTTCCACAGCGTTGGTCAAAAAACGTTGTCTAAAAAACGTGGTTATAGACAACTTTTGTTGTAGTGAGACGACTAGCGTTAGGATGGTGCCGAGTTAGACAGGCACAAGGGGACCACATTTTTTGGAGAGTTGCCATAAGGATTGGTGAGGAATCTTGCCAAGCTGGTGCAAGTTGCCTATGATGGGAAGCTTTGGAGGGGATGGTGGAAGTTTGACTTTTGCTAGTGGTTTCTTCTTTGTTTGTAGAGGGAAAAGATAGAGAATGGGAAGTAGGACTAGGACTACTAAAAGAGGACACCAGGAAGGGGTTGATGGCGGAAAGAGATCCATGAAGATATGGTGTTTTGGGTTGTCTTCAACTTGCATGAACTTGTGACAATGTTAATATCTTTTTTGATAAGCAAAATGAGGTTTAGTTTCTTCGGAGATTGGGGTATGCTTTCATGACCTGGTCTTCATGAAGGAATTGAGGATTTAAATAAAGAAGAAAATAAACTGAATATTATCTTCATTCATTCATTTCTGAACATACATCCATTACCTCTTATATAGACACAAGTGCTATATATATAAACTATATATATTTGTTTAACCAACTCATTAACTAACTATTACAATAACTGTTTACAAGTATAGATTGTCTACACCTCTTCTTCACCTCTGTTACTGTGTTTCATTAGTTTGATTTGATCTGTTTTAGTATGAATCTCATCAGGCCCCCTCAAGCAAATAGGTGAGGGATGAACCATGAGCTTGTCTTGAAAGAAAGAAAAGCGAGCAGCAGAGAGAGGTTTGGTGAGGATGTCAGCAACCTGATCAGAGGAAGACACATTCTTGACCACAACCTGCTTAGCCATAACCTGATCTCGAGTAAAGTGATAGTCAACAGCGATATGCTTAGAGCGAGCATAGAACACAGGGTTAGAGGCAAGAGAAATTGCAGATAAATTGTCACACTATAACAGAGGAAGAGAGACAGAGGGAACATGAAGCTCATGGAAAAGCATGCAAAGACAAGTCAATTCAGAAACAGTCTGAGCAAGGGCACGGTACTCTGCCTCAGTAGAGGATCGAGAGATGGTACACTGCTTTTTAGTAGCCCAAGAGATCAAGTTAGGACCCAAAAAAACACAATATCCAGTAGTGGACTTCCTATCAAGGACACTACCAGTCCAATCAAAGTCGGAATAGGCATGAAGAGTCAATGGACCAAGAGTAAAAACCAACCCATAAGATAAGGTACCCTGAAGATATCGAAGTAGCCATTTGACAGCATTGAAATGGGCCACTGTGGGAGCATGCATGAATTGGCAAGCACAATTAACAGCATAAGAGAGGTCAGGCCAAGTAAGAGTAAGGTATTGCAAGGCACCCACTATACTGTGATAGAGAGAGGGTTGGGAAAAAGTAACAGAGGTCACAGAGGAAGAACCAGACTTGGTGGCCATAGGAGAATTATAGGCTTTACAGTTTAGCATACCAGCTTTGGCCAGAATATCAGAGGCATATTTGTACTGTGACAGAAAAAGACCAGAAACAGTGTGATAAACAACAATCCCAATAAAGTAAGAAAGAGACCCCAGCTCTTTCATAGAGAAAGCTGAATGCATATGCTTGATAAAAGAGGAAATTTGAGAAGAATCATTGCCAGTGATAAGGATATCATCAACATAAACCAAAAGAAGAGTGATAGAGGAACCAGAATGAACAATAAAAAGAGAAGAATCACATTTTCTATTGATAAAGCCACAAGAGAGCAGAAAATAATAAAAGGTGGAATATCAAGCGCGAAGGGCTTGTTTAAGGCCATAAAGAGCCTTTTTAAGTAAACAGATACGAGAAAGATTAGTAGAATCCTTAAACCCAGGAGGTTAAGTCATAAACACCTCCTCTTCCAAGATGTCATGAAGATATGCATTGGAGATATCTGGCTGGCGTATGGACCAAGCAAAATGAAGAGCCAAACTAAAAAACACTCGAATAGCAGGCTGCTTGGCCACAGGACTGAAGGTTTCATGGTAATCAATACCCTCAATCTGAAGATATCCCTTAGCTACAAGTCGAGCCTTGTGCCGAGCTATGGACCCACTAGAGTTCTTTTTTATTCGAAAGACCCATATGCAGCCAATCTGTTGCTTACCAGAAAGAAGAGGCACCAATTGCCAAGCATGTTGTCGTTGGAGAGCCTGATATTCCTCCTTCATGGCCTCATCCCAAACAGGAGTCTTAATAGCATCTGAGAAGGAATGAGGCTCAATAAGAGCATAATCAGGTACAGTAGAAGCCAAGAGGGATTGATGAGAGACGGAGGCTTTAGGCCTTGCAAACATGGGATGAGTGTTAACCAGAAGAGAAGAACTAGGAAGAGGTGGCTAAAGAGGATGAGAAGTATGATCAATAGCAAGAGAAGTAATAGGAATAGGAGCTATGGAAGAGGGAGAAACAGATGGAGATGGTAAAGAAGGAGAAATAGGAGAATTAGGAGATAGAGAAAAGTAAAGAGGAAGAGGAGAATTAATAGAAAAGTGAGCAGAACCAATGGGTGGCCAAAAAAGGTTTAAAGCTGAGAAAGAGAAGGAGAAGGAGAAGGAATAAAAGTGATAGGATGATCAACCAAAAAAAACACAGATTCATCAAAAATAACATGTCAAGATAAGTACACTCGACCGGAGAGAGGATCTAGACATCTATATCCTTTGATAGAAGGATGATAACCAATGAAAATGCAAGGAATGGACTGAGGTTGAAACTTATAGGCAGTATAAGGTCGAAGCCAAGGGAAACACCTACATCCAAAACACTTAAAAGAAGAAAAATCAGGGATTTCATGATAAAGCATTTCAAAAGGAGTAATGTTACGAAGTTTGGAAGAGGGCAGTCGATTAATGAGAAACACAAAGGTAACAAGACAGTCAAACCAAAAGGAAAGAGGAAGATCAGACTGGTGAAACAAAGCAATAGTGGTAGCGATGAGATAGCGGTGTTTCCTTTCAGCCATGCCATTTTGGGGAGGAGTATGAGGACAACACATTTGATGCAAAATATTATGAAACTTGAGATAATTTTCAAATTGATGCCCTGTATATTCACCCCCACCATCTATGCGAAACACTTTAAGAGAAGTAGAAAATTGCGTTTCAACAAAAATTTTAAATTCTTTGAATTTGGAGAACACTTCACTCTTAAAAGAAAAGGGATACACCCAAGAGAATTTTACTGTAATCATCCACAAATAACAAATAAAATTTGAAACCAGAACTAGATGAGGAAAATGGACCCTAAACATCACTGTGGATGAGGGATAAAGGTGCATTAACAGTGGAATTGGACAAAGTAAAAAGAAGTCTGTGACACTTAGCTACAGCACACTGAGTACAAACATGTTTAGTGTAAGACTTATGAACAGGTAAATGAAATTTATTCAAAACAAAATCAAGCTTCTGTGAGGAGGGATGGCCTAGCCGTTGATACCAAGTAGTAGTAGGAACAAATGCAGCATATACAGCAGCATGAGCAGATGTAGATGATGATAAAAAAGTAGGACAAGGCAAAGATCTAGACAAGTATGTAGGTAACCGATAAAGACCTTTACTGTAAGAGCCTTTATATAGAGGAATCTTGGAATGTTTGTCTTGAATAACAAAAGAAGTATCATCAAATGTGATAAAGCAATTATTATCAGAAACCAATTGATGAACTGATAAAAGTTTAGAAGAGATAGATGGAGCATGAAGCATATTGTGAAGTTTGAAAGGAAATGAAGGAATAAGAAGAATACCTTTCCTGTATGCATAATAGGAACAGTAGAACCATTACCCACAATTACATGATCAAATCCATGATACGGATGATACTACTAAAAATAAGAGAGATCATTGGTAACATGAGTAGTAGCAGCAAAGTCAACATACCAATTTGCAGGAGAAGAAACAGACGAAGAAGCCATATACGCAGTAGGAGACGGAGAATTGGACTGAGAGTTAGAATTTGGCAGAGAATTGCAAGATTAATCCATTCGAAACCAACAATAAAGAGCTATATGATTTGGCTTGCCATAGATTTGACAATAGAGAGTAAAATCAGAACCACCAGAACTAGAGAAGGAAGAAAATGAAGATTGTCGACCGGAATTTGAAAATCGGCCTCGACAATTGCCTTGAAATCGACCTCCTCTTGAAGAATTATTTCCTTTACGAAACTGATTTTGATTCCCTCAATAGGAAGAAGGTGACTGGTTTTGAAACCTAGATTGATTGTTATGATCTTTTGTGATGGAGTAAGCAACCGTTAGATCATAACTTGAAGACTTACTAACTGAATCAACATGCAAAGCATCAGAACAGAGTAAAGAAGAGAGTTCTTCCATGGTGATAGGTTCAAATCTTGCACGAACTATGGTCTTAAGTGCATTAAATTCTACAAGAAGTCCATTCAAGGTGATAAAAACCAGATCTTTATCATCAATTGGAGATCCAGAGAGAGATAATTGATCAGAAATAGTTTTAATCTGAAGCAAATATTCCTCCATCAATGAAGATTTCTTCGAGAGACTCATAAGTTTATTCTTTAGGTGGTGAATATGAGACCTAGAGAGAAGCAAATCGTCTAGAGAGAATAAACCAAACTTCATCGCAAGTGACACATTGAACAACAAATGTGAACACTGTAGGTGTCAAAGTTGCAGTAATGCAACTCAGAAGATGTGAGTCAATCAATTTCCATTACAAGAATTCTAGATTAGCCACAGTTTTTCCAGATGAATCAAGAACAGTTGTAGATGGAGAAACAACAAATCCATCAACATAGCTCAGAAGATTTGTGGCTCTGAGCATATTTTGAAATTGATTT